TTACATCTAATGTAGTGTTAAGTTATATCCATTATTTTTATCTCATTTTTTCTTTTACTGTGTTTTAAAACCCCATAACTTGAGATTTGCCTTTTTAACATAATTTTCAGTGTACGATGCAGTGTTGTTAATTATAGACATAATGTACAGCCAATCTTTCAGATGTATTCCCACTGAGCAGCAGTCCCCATTTCATTCTCCACAGTCCCCTGACAACCACCATTCTGTTTTTTGTTTTTATGGCTTTGACACTGTAGAAACTTCATATAACTGGAACCATCTTATATTGTCCCTCCAAGACTGGCTTATTTCATTTAGCATAAGGCCCTCACAGTTTATCCAGGTTGTCACATGTGTCACAATTTTCTACTTTTTATGGCCAAATAATATTCCATTATATGTATATATCATATTTTCTTCAGCCATTCATCCATCCATGGATATTTGTGTTATTTGTGTTATTTCCTCTTCTTGGCTTTTGTAAATAATCTGTAACAAACATGGGTGTGCAATTATGTTTTTGAGATTCCAATTTCAGTTCGTTTGGGTGAACACCTGAAAGGAGGAAGGCTGGGTCATTTGGTAGAGTTCTAATTGTAGATTTTGGGAAACTACCATGCTGTATTCCACGGTGACTACACCATCTTCAGTTCTCACCAAGAATGCACAAGGTTCTGATTTCTCCACATCCCCACCAACACTTGTTATTTATGCTGGAGCCTTACAATTTGCCGACAGGCAGAGACGAATAAGCACAGACAAGTATCACTGTCACTGGAGGTACTTGGAGTACATATCTGTTCTCAAGAGGAGTGGCCAGTGGTCCAGATCCCAGCATTTTGTAGGACATTAAAGGGGAATCACCTGTGACAGTTCTGCTCTTTCACATTTTGTATATTCCATGGGTTACGTGTTTCTGTCACACATATCTTCATTTCAGATCTCAAAGTTTTGGGAGCATTTTAATAACTCCATAAAGTTTCAGTTTCACTTTGTTCCTGTTTCTCTGTCCAGTGATATGCACTCAGCTGAGGTCACTATATTGTTTCAGCATCCCTCACTTCTCATATTTGTTGGTTACCTTTCTCTTTCATTTCTTTGTCTCTTTCTCTGATAAAGAATAGCTTTATTCTATTATCTGAGCATTTCTTGTCACTGTGTTCAGTTATTCATGTTGCAGAAAGAAGGCTGGCTGGCTGGCTGGCTGGTGAAAACACTTTTTGCTTAGGCAAAGTCTGTAGATGTATTTATTTGTATTGATTCATCCTCTCTTACCTTGGTTTATGTCTTTAGCAATCAATTATTTTTTTTGTGTGTGAATGTTTTTCTTTACCTTTTGTTTTTTCTGCATTTGCTTACCACGCATGTGGGTAGATGCTATGATGGTCCATATTTTAAAATGATTTCTTATCATCAACTATAAAAATTTCTGCCTTGCTCAGTTATTTGAAGATAATTTCTGGGTTCCTAGGGCCAAAGTCTTGTTCACAGTAGATCTTCTTACTCTGTGCTGGTGTGTCATAGTGAGGAGTTCTAACATTTGTAGCTCTGTGGCCCACTGCCAGGCCTCTTATAATGTTTCTTTGCTTTCATTGACTTAATCCATAGGTTTATTCCTGCAAAAAGGGACTGTGTAATTTTTTTTATTCAGCCCAGTATTTCCTGCTAGATTGGATTGAAAGAAACTATAGTGACAACCTGTGCATCAGTTAGCATTGAGCCAAATGAGCGGATGTTTGCATGACAGTTTCAGTTAATGTGTATTGGTGGCGTTTTCTGTGATTTCCAGCCAGAGGTCAACTTCTCTTGGACTATTCTTGCAATTATATTTGACTGGATTTAATTTTGTAAGGCTTTCTTATTTTTTAAATAACAAATGAGTCCAATGTTTTTATGAGTTCCATATTGGAGCATCTTCATATCTATTTCTATTTTCTGTTTCTCTCTCTTGATTCTATTTCTTGGCGTGCCTGATGTTTTCCTGTGGATTGCCAGAGATTGTGTATGAAAAATAAAAAAGGCTGTGGGTGATGTTGTCTTCTTCCAGAGGCCAGGCCCTTAGGTCTGAGAGGCTGCTAGCGTGGAGGTATCATCTGGTCCTTTCAAGGGCTGTTTCCTCAGGGTGCAATCTTTGGGGTCTTTTATTTTACTATGACTTACCACTGCTCCCAGGGGAAGCCCCCAACACAAGTAACAACTGACAGTCTGATGTTAACTAGCGGCCCTTCTCTTTAGGTAATCTGTAGGTGCTCACTGCGAAGTACAGTGATCCTGCTGAAGACTCTGGTGTGCTCTTTGGAGCTTCTTCCACTTGGTCTTGGCTCCCTGCCCTGCGAATGTTACGCATTTGACAGATTCCCTGAGGAGACAACTCTTGGTGTACTCTTCACTTGTCTGTGCTTTTCTTTCTTTTCTTTTCTTTTCTTTTTTTTTTTTAAGATTTATTTATTTATTTGAAAGGCAGATTTAGAGAGAGGCAGAGGCAGGGAAAGAAGAGAGAAAGGTCTTCCATCTGCTGGTTCACTCCACAAATGGCTGCAACCGCTGGAGCTGAGTTGATCAGGAGCCAGGAGCTTCTTCTGGGTCTCCCATGCGGATAAAGGGCCAAGCACTTGGGCATCTTCAACTGTTTTCCCAGGCCGTAGCCGGCAGCTGGATCAGAAACTGAGCAGCTGGGACTCAAGCCATGCCAATATGGGATGCTGGCACTGCAGGAGATGGCTTTACCTGCTACACTACAGAGCCGCTACCCTCCTTGTTTCTTCTACTCAATTATATATGATACAGGAGTTTAGAATATGTATTAGGAAATTGAAACTATCTTCTGAAAAGAACTCCTAAAACAGAGGGATCTTTAATCAAGAGACAAAGTAAATAGTCTGTGTGAAGAACTCTGAATATCTGAAATATCTGAAAATATCTGAATATCTAAAAAAATTTTTGCATTATAAAAAGTTAAATCTAGCCAGCATTGTGGTATAACCCACTAAACTGCTGCTTGCGATGCTGGCATCCCATATAGACACTGGTTCTAGTCCTGGCTGCTCCCTTCTGATCAAGCTCCCTGCTAATGAACCTGGGAAAGCAGCAGAAGGTGGCCCAAGTGCTTGAGCCCCTGACCCAACTTGAGAGACCCAGATGAAGCTTTTTTTTTTTTTTTAAGATTTATTTATTTGAAAGGAAGAGTTACAAAGAGGCACAGATAGAGGGGAGGGAGAAGAAGAAGAGAGAGAGAGAGGTCTTCCATCCGCTGGTTCATTCCCCAAATGGCCAGAGTTGTGCTGATCCAAAGCCAGGAGCCAGGAGTTTCTTCCTGGTCTTCCATGCGGGTGCAGGGACCCGACCTCTTGGGTCATCTTCTACTGCTTTCCCAGGCCATAACAGAGAGCTGGATCAGAACTGGAGTAGTCAGGACTCAAACCAGCACCCATATGGGATACAGGTGCTGCAGGCAGTTGCCTTACCCACTATGCCACAGCATCAGCCCTCCCAAATAAAGTTTTTGGCTCCTGGTTTCGACTTGGTCCAGTCCCAGCTGTTGCAGCCATTTGGGGAGTGAACCAGCACATGGAAGATCAATCTCTCTCTCTCTCTCTCTCTCTCTCTCTCTCTAACTCTGAGTTTCAACTAAATAAAATGAATGCAATAAAAAAAAAGTTAAATCTATGTAACATGCTCTTACAGTCAATATAATGGTTTGCATTTTAGAGATTTGGAAACTATACAGCAAAATTTAACTTATATACCTATTGAGTATTGCAGTGATGAAAGGATAAAATGAAGAAAGGATGTCAGGGTTGTAATATAATTTAACATCTAAAGTTCAGTTTAACAGTTTTAGAAAACCCACAAAGAGATAGATGAGTGCATCATCATAGTTACCTTTCCTAATTATTTAAACTTGCTGGAAGTTAATTATCCCTTCAGCTAATGGCTTGAGTACCCTGATTTTAGAGGAAATATCTAAAAGGTCATAAATGCCTTTATCTAAGTTTTAAATTACAGTCTTGCAAATGTGAAAAATTAAAAATAACTTAAAATATCAACAAGTAGAGAAATTATTTAGTTGGGTGATAATTTTGAATACTGTGAAAAGTGAATAAGACCTTTTTTAAATTAAAAAATTAAAGAAGTGAAAATTTTGTGCATTAACATCACAACTATATAATAAAATATTCCTATATACTTTTGTAATAGTAAGTGGGTCCCTTATTGATAACCCCTGTGTTAAAATTTGGGGGTTATGACTCTCTTTTTAAAAAATATTACTACAGGGCCTGGCCCTGTGGTGCAGTGGGTAAAGCCGCCAGTTGTAGTGCCGGCATCTCTCATGGGCTGCTGCACTTCCTATCCAGCTCTCTGCTACGGCTTGGGAAAGCAGTAGAAATGGCCTTGGGCCCCTGCACCTAAATGGGAGACCCAGAAGAAGCTCCTGGTTCCTGGCTTCAGATCAGCCCAACTCTGACCGTTGCAGCCATTTCGGGGGGAAACCAGCAGATGGAAGACCTCTCTCTCTCTCTCTCTCTCTCTCTCTCTCTCTGCCCCTGCCTCTGTAACTCTACCTTTCAAATAAATAAATAAACCTTTAAAAATTAGAACATTGATTTATAATTTTAAAAAGTTTCTAAAACGCTAAAGGAATAGAAAACAACAACTGATAAATACTTGCCTAACAAATCTAACCTGAAAAAGAGGTATAGAGGATCGGGACGTTGACTCCTTTACTGCTCAGTGCCTACATCCTGGAATATCTACCAGACTCTGTAAGTAGTCATTAAATGAATGAATAGCTTGGCGTATATAACCATGAAGATCTTAGTTTTATGGTAGAAAGCATTTTTTAAGACTTAGTTAAGAGGTTGATTTAATTTTTACTACTGTAGTTTACGATGCATTCATTTTCTTTGTTCTTATAAGGCTGTGAATTTCCTTTAGTTTCCTTAATGGTACAAAAGTGTTATCAAGGCAGAAGCTTTCTTAACAATTACCTATGCTTTTAGAACCAAATAGTCAAAGAACTGGAGGCCCGTGTCCAGCAGCTGACTGGAGAAGCAGAGAACAGTAATTTACAGAGGCAGAAATTAATTCAAGAAAAGCAGGAACTTGAAAGATGTTACCAGATTACATGTAGTGAATTGCAAGAAGTGAAGGCAAGGTATGATCTGAAATCAAATATCAGATGTTGCTAAAAAGTACTGAAATTAAGTCTATAAATTATCTGCCAGAATTAATCACACGTTGTACATTGAACCTTGGGAAGTTTCTACCCTAAATGTTGATGTTTGTTTATTTGTTTTAAGTCCCCTTTTAACACAAGAAGCCTAATGTTTAGAAAACATTGATAAAAATATAGATGTTTGATATATTGAAAGAATACCTTTGGTTTTGGCTGATTAAACATTTCCTTTTAGTGATTGATTCTAAAAATATTAGAATTCTGTTTGATTCTCTGATTGCTTTTAGGCGCAACATACTACATAAAGAGAAAGATCATCTTGCAAATGAGTATGAGCAAAACATGAAATTATTACAAACCAAATACAATGCTGATATAACAATTCTGAAACAAGAACATGCACTTTCAGCTTCTAAGGTAGTGTTTACACTCTTAGGTTCTTTATTTTACTTAGCTTATGGTCATAGATATGGTCATAGAGGCTGATTGCTTGGCATTTGAAATTAGTCTCTTCTTCTCTTTATTCTTAAATAAGTGAGCATCAAGAATTTAATTGGTATTTAAAACTTTAAAAATGCTAGATGTCTAATTTATAGCACAACCCTAGTATTTAATAAGCAACTTTCTGCTATGATAAATTAACTCTTTTAAGTACCAAAGTTTTTAAAAGTGTTAACATAAATTATGAGAAGAAATTCTTAGGTGTGTTAATACAACATTTTGTGGAGTAACTTTATATATTGTTATTGTTTTGGAATCCTGGATATGCTTTAATTTTGTAAGTACAATTTTAAAAGTTTTCTGTAAGGCTTTTATTTTTATATTTTTATTATATATACTATGCAGAATTTATAATTTTACTTTAAAAGATTAATTTTTGTTCTGTCTTTTTAAAACATTTTAATTTAGATTTAATTCTTATTGAATTTTCATGGGGAGAGAATAATAGGTGTATTTTTTCAATCAGAAATTATAAAATCAATATTCTGCTTTTTATTACTATTGTAATCCTTCTAGGCATCTGGTATGATTGAAGAATTAGAACAGAACATCTGTCAATTAAAACAGCAGTTACAGGATTCAGAACTTCAAAGAAAGCAGCAACTAAGGGTGAGTCTTGTGCGTCTCCACAGAAGAACAGTGGCCCTAACTCACCTTTCCTTTTCTTGATTTACAGATACAAATCAGAGTCAGTTTTAAAAAACTCAAATACAAATAGCCATTTATGATTCATTAATTGCATTGTATACTTTTTCATTTTATCTTAACAAAAGTAAAAGCTAATGAGATGTAGAGAATAAAGGAGAATAAAGAATAAATTGATTTGTTTTTGAGATTAGCTTAGCAACAAACTTTTAATTTAGGTATACTGTTATTTTGGAATAATTTACCCCTTTAAAATGAGTTTCTTCCAATACTTCTGTCCTGTCCTCCAGCTACTCACCTGCCTACTCTATTTAGATCTTACTTCTATTTTCCCTGTGGTCAAAAAGTACTAAGGCGTGGTATATAACTTCAAATTTATCACTTTTATATTGATTTAGTTGGTGTTTTTAAAGTAACCTCTTAATTCTTAAGATTGGAAAGGTTCTCTTACACTGTAAAGAAAGAAGTGACATCTACTGATGACTAAAATGTTTATGCCTTATAATATAAAGTTACAGAAGTTTCTATTTGTGATTTGGAAAACTGGGTAGGCAGGGCACTCTGAAGAATATGTAAAACCCTGAAATAGTTTGACATTGAACAGATTTATTGAATTCAATAGATTAACAATTTTATTGATTATAGTAGTAATTTTAAGTATGATAAAAATATTTATCATTCACAGGATCAAGAAAACAAATTTGAAATGGAAAAAAGTCATTTAAAACGCACCTATGAAAAAAAGGTAATTTGTGGGATGCTATAAAACATTTGAAATAGCAAATAAGTGGGTTGGTGCTGAATTTTATAAAATGATAAATTCTAACACTTAAACAATAATTTGTTTCTAAGTTAATTTCAGCTAAGCAGTAATTAAATTTTGCTTTGTTATTTTTCACATTAATAGCACCTTCTTCAGTTCAATTATTGATATCAAAATTAAAATTCTGTATTAAACTGATGAGTAAAGAATATTATCTTAACCTCTCATAATATTCTGAAATTATATTTTCTTTGTACCAATTGAAAATGTGATATAATCAATTGTAGTTATTTTCTATTCTGTTATATCATGTGTGCAATGAAAACTTTAAATATTTAACCAAAGAACATAAAATAATGAAAGAACTGGTTACAACTTTAAAATTGATTAATAATCATTTCTTGACATTTAGAATAGTGAGTGTTTCTACTGACATTTGTTAGTATATCCTTGTTATCAGTAATTGCTGGGAAGTTATTGATATACCAACACCTTAGGCAGAGTTCTATAGATTTGTAACTATGAAACTTCAGTTATGAATTGTTGTTTGCTAAGACATGGAAGGAAAAGGAATGGTTGCAATAGCAGAGATTTTATTGCTGCTTTTATAATTACTTGCTGTTCTCACATACTGAATTAATCTATTTTAAAAATACACATATCCTGGAAAATAATAAAAATGTTAATCTTTCAACAATTGAAATACATAAAGATTAAAGTTAAATATGATTCATATCACAAAATTATTAAAGCAATTTGTAATACCACGTGTAACCATTAGTATCATCACTCCATAGATATCCATTAAATGCCGGAGCGAGACTGAGTATGAATTAGATATAGACTGCGCTCTAGGAGCTTGACGTATAGGAAAAGTAGTGTTTCTGTCATTTAGGAAACTGAGCATTTCTCTGACATGTATTGACCTGCATATGTGCTCTTCAGAATTGCAGTAACTTTTCCTATTGGTGCAAGCTCTCAAGTCTTTTTTCATGTAGGATCTTAAGTATATTTCATATCTACAGAATGAGATCCAAATAGGAAGGGAAAATATTGCTTTAATTGAAATAAATAATTTTTTGTGCAGTTTCTACTGCTGAGCCATGCAGCTTCATAAATATTTTACTTACCAAAAGAAGAACATGCATTAGCATAAACCTTGCTCCCCTCTGTGTAAGGCATCCAGATTCTCTGGGTGTACTTGTTAGCCCATGATCATTCTTGGGCCAGGTCTCTGGCTTCCCATCGTTTAAGGAAGGCCTTCCTGGCCACCTGCTCTGTTAACACTCTGTGCTCAGCCCTCTTCCTAAGAGGTGGTATCTGTGTACCATGGGTGCATGTGGGAGATGGGTGGGCTGGTGGCTAGGAGAAAGACATGCATTACTGATTGTAAAAGAGTGTATTCCTACTCTTATTTTTAACAGGGATCAATTTTCAGTTGGATTTAAACACCTAAGAACAATTGTGTGTTAATGAAAGAGTTCAAACAATGGTATTAAGTAGAAAAAGAAAATACTAAAAAGAATAAAATAGTCAGCTGTTCCTTAACAGTCAGGACAAGGGCTGATTAAGTCATTGCTTCTCATAATGTCAGTTTCACTTCTACAGGTTTCCTTTTAGGTACCCAGTTAGTTGTCACCGATTAGAGAGAACATATGATATTTGTCCCTTTGGGACTCAACATGATGTTTTCCAGATTTCTCCATTTTGTTGCAATTGACCAGATTTCATTTTTTTTTACTGCTGTGTAGTATTCCATAGGGTACATATCCCATAATTTCTTTATCCAATCTTCTGTTGATGGGCATTTAGGTTGAGGAGATACGCAGTTTTGCATATGCTCCCTCGGACTTACCCCTAAGGGTAAAGCTAAAAACTTGCCATGGGACTCCAAATCTCATTAAGTTGGCAGGTACCAATGCCATCTTACTAGTTAAAATGATCAGTTTAAGTTCATAACTGATCATAAAGATAGAATTAACTGTCACAGGGATCACATAAATAAGACCAGTATCTACTACTAATAATTGATATAATAAAAAAGAGAGAATGACTCAACAGGGCAAGTGGGATACACAGCAGACTCATAGAATGACAAATGCCCTAAACAGCACTCTGGCCTCAGAATCAGCCCTTAAGGCATTCAGATTTGGCTAAAAAACCCATGAGAGTTTCTCAGGCATGGAAAGCCAGGACACTGTGGCAAAAAATGACCTATATGAAAGATCTCTTTGAGTGAGATCCCAGTGGAAAGAAAGGGCCATCAAAGAAGGAGGTACCTTTCTCTGAAGGGAGGAGAGAACTTCCACTTTGATTATGGCCTTGTCTAAATAAGGTCGGAGTTTGTGAACTCAAGAGGCTTCTATAACCTTGGCAGCTCATGACAAGAGCCTTGGGTGATTACTGATGTCATAAAAAAGAGTGTCAATTGTTAAACCAACAACAGGATTCACTGTGTACTTACTCCCCATGTAGGACCTCTGTCCTTAATGAGTTGTACTATGAGAATTAACGGTAAAACTAATCTTCAAACAGTGCTTTATACTTTGTGTTTCTGTGTGGGTGCAAACTGTTGAAATCTTTACTTAGTATAGAGTTGATCTTCTGTATATAAAGATAATTAAAAATGAATCTTATAATGAAGGGAGTAGGAGCTGGGATGGTTTGCAGGTGGTAGGGTGGTTATGGGGGGAAGAACTGCTATAATCCAAAAGTTGTACTTTTGAAATTTATATTTATTAAATAAAAGTTTTCTATTAAAAAAAGTGTATTCCTCTCCCAAACTTTTTAAAAGTCCTACTGAAGACTGTTAGCTAAATAGATAAAGTCCTCTTCCTCTTGCCACTGTCTTTTTTGGGTTGTTAGCCACTAACTGAACAGGCTTCTGCTATCAATCCCTGATGAACATTTACAAGAAAGGGATTATTCTAGCTACATTCATTGTTATTCAGTAATTTTCAGACCATTCCTGTTCTATTTACTTCAGGGAGCAGACTGAAATTCTTTTTCACTAGGCATCATAATTACAGCTGTTCCCTTTCTGTGAAGTATCATTTGGCCTAGTTTTCCAATAAATAACCTAAGTGTGTTAATTGTTTTCAAAGTCAATAAGATTTGTTTAAAATAATAGCAACTTTTACAAGAAAAATACCCATATTTATTCATATTGCATATGTTCCTAACATTATTTATATTGGAAAAAACTGTTGCTCAGCATGTCACTTTTTGTTTTACAATTAATTCCATAATCTCCCCCTTTTAAATTGACATCTGTTCTTCTTTCTTTATTAAACCTGCTGTGATCTCAAGCCTTGAAGATTTGATGTCTTGCACCCCCCTCAGGGAATATCCTTTTTGACTGCTCAAAGAGCTGACATAAATCTTACATAGCCCTAGACTGTGTAACCGGATAGCTCAATGGGATGTATAGGGCTTTTGTTTGCGAGGCTGTGTTACAGGTGTGCACATTCAATAACTTGTGGTATAAACTCGGTTCTGAATGTCTGTTCAGGAAGGGAAATGCCATCTGAATGACATTATTTCCTCATGCCTCTGAGAAAGCAGCAGGAAGGGAGCATACCATTCCCGCTTGTCTTTGAGGTAAAAGGAACAGCATCAGATGCTGTCCCTAATTTAAGCACACACATATTATCTAATGGTCCTTATTGATCTCTGGTGGCTATGGCCTGCTCTTCAGATCTTTGAACATCAAACAAATAATAGGTAGTAAAACTAAATGTCATTGTTTGATGAAGTGTCCTAATCTGCTAAATCAGGAAATGGTTAGGCTAAATGATTTTACTAGCAAGGAAACACCTGCCTCCTACAAATAACCTATTGCTTGTTTTCCAAACAGGCACCAGAGAGTAAAAGATGGTGCTGTTTAACCAGAGAAGTGCAGGAGACAGATTTTAAGCGTGTGTATTCTAAAATGTGCCACAATTGAAATATCTACTTAAAATCCCTCTGAGATAGCTGCTTAACAAATAAGGTGTAATGTCTGATGGAATTTAAAACCGTTAAAGTGTAGTTATTCCAAGAGCTATCATTCATGTGTATTTCTTTGAGTTATGCCTAAAATAATGAAACATTTATACAGCTTTACGTACATTTGTTAGTATTTTTTCAGCTACTACTGACATGATTTTAAGAGGACGTATGTCTTTTCTGAAGCTTAAAAAAATGCAATTGGGCCATGAATAGATTTATATAAATCATGTGACCCAGACCCCTGTACTTTTTATATCAAGAAGGTTAGGGCAGTTAAAGACCTGGTAGAGCTAGGTCGCTGTATGGTGTTTGGTCCAGCACCATTCTGCGCTCTCTACTATTCAATGGTGTCTACACACTATGTCTACTTCCTGATACATGGAAAATCTCTTTTTTACTTACCCAAGTCCTCCTTTCTTGATTACTAATATTCTTGGAATACAACGGATTAAATATATTTTTAATAATTGTGCTTATGACTACTTAAATCATTTTTATAGTAGATAATTCTGTTTGAGAATATATTATGTATTCTTGACTATCTGGTTTGTATTTTCATCACTTATTACTCTTAAATTCATTTTTATATTAACAATATGTAGTGGGGAAAGGTTTACGAGCACATTAGTTCAAGTCTTATTCTATGCTATCATTAGTACCTTTAAAAGGAAAGTTTGCCAATAGCATGATCTCTTTAAAAAAAAAAAAAAAAGGAGAGGCAGAGCAACAGAGAGGGAGGAAGGGGTAGGGATATCTTCAATTGCTTGTTCACTCCCCAGATGGCTGAAATAGCCAGATCAGAGCTGGGCCAAATCCAGGAGTCTGGAACTTGATCCATATTTCCCACATGGTAGCAGAGGTTCAAGCACTTGGACCATCTTTGACTGTTTTCTCTGATGCATTAGCAGGGCACTGGATTAGCAACAGAGAAGCCGGGACTTGAACCATTACTCAGAAAAGGGATTCTGGTGTCAAATATGGTAGCTTAAACC